AATTCACAAACTTCAAACTTATATCTTCATTGATTTTTACTTTAACAAATAAAACATCCAGTGAGCCATACAGACGTCCTCTTTGAGAATAGTCCGAAGACTAATAACGTTAAAAACCGGGTTTCGATACCCACGGTGGGCACAGCACAGATAGCTCATTGTGTAGTTTGTGCTTAGAAACAAACAAAGAAACTTAAAGAACATTGATTTGTTTTCGTTTTCAAAGCTACTAAGAGTTTAAGAAGTAACATCTTTGTTATAAAATGTTTGTCCTGAAGTTCTGGATGAAAAGCCCCCAGTGGCACAAAGCGGTATGTCTGCGGACTTACAACGCTAGAATCCGGGTTTCGATACCCGTGGTGGGCAGAGCACAGATAGCCCATTGTTTGGCTTTGTGCTTAATTACAACAAACAAACATTTGGATGAACATGAACATTTTTGGACTTACATCTTTATAGAAGCAATTTCACTTCTTTCCACTAACGTGCACGTGGTCAACCTTTGTGTAGAAAGAATATGAAAAATTAAAAACATTCAAGCTTTTACATTCTCTTTGTGTCAGTTTTGGAAGATGTTGTTATTCAGTAGAATCAATAAAACATTTCATTGTGAATAAAAATCAATTGTAAAGAATTAAATATTTCTTACTATTAATGTTTTAGGATGCATATGTATTCATATAGATATCAACCTTAGGAGTTCAATTGATTATCATGTTCTTGAATAAATATTGTTTTAAAGCCAGTGAAAATGGTTGTTTTCTTATTAGTTTGTATAATCGGATGTATGAACGTTCAATAACTTATTTTCTGTGCGAACTTAGACAAGTATTGCATATTGATAATGTCGAAAATAAATTACGCATATAAGGTATCGTGTTTTTTGTCGAATAGGAAAAAATAGTTGTAAAATATACCATGTATTGTGTATTATATGGTTGTTTATATGATTAGATAGATCAGCACTGGCACTTTACAAGCTCTGTAATTTGTGATAAAACATTTGTTATTTTTACATTATTTTAACATGTATTACAAAAACGCTTAATCGATCAGGTGCGATTGTGATTTGGATGTAAGTAATTCAAAATACAGAGAGGTATTTTGTTCTTAGTATGCAATAAAATTATTCCAAAAAACTTTGTGCGTCGTCTAATAATTGTTTGTTGAGTTTCTACGAATCAAAATAGCTCAAAAAAAATATTAAATCATGTTTACAATCACCGTCTAGTGTCTCCAGATGTGTAAGATCAGGTCTTATATTTTAGAGGAAAAGTGAAAAATTGACTTTACGTTAAGTGTCAAAGAAGTATCCTGTTATTCTGTTCTAAAGTGTTTATCTGATTTGGCTAATACATTATAATTTTAGAAAATGGTCTTTCATCACGATTAATCTAAAAAACAAGCTTCAACAAAAGAGAACAATAAGTGGTACTTCATAAAAAGCTATGTTCAAAAAATAACACGAAGAAATACTTGTATAAAAATTAAAAGTTAAAATATAACCATAAGTAATATTCATAATGACTATATTTTAACCGTTTTAAAACTGACACTTGTGTCCTATAACACCGAAACATATGTAGTGTCTTTTTCAGGGTAAGTCCCTGTTTTAAATAACTATTTATTTTAACGTTCATGACCTCTGGGCTCATAGAAAAATAGCAGCTCCCACTTCAGTTTTCTGAAAATTAGTTATATTTCATCAGCTAAACTCCTGGAACTATTTTATGAAAGGTTCTTTTGTCAGCACTGAGGTTTAAGTTGTTTATTTGGTGTATAAACATGTTGCACATATGGTCATTTTGTATAGTGTTTACCTAGTTTTCATCACAAACTGTGTTTTTCTAAGAGAAAGCTTAGCTAAACTAAAAAATAAATGTTATAAGTATCGTGTTATTTAGTTTTGTAAGATCGCAACAAACACAAAACAATGGAAATCGGATGAATCTTTTTAATACACAATAAAATCTAAGAAATTAGTTTTTTTTAAGTTTGACTATAGGATATAGCCACGTGTGTGACATCATAAAACCAAAATGGTTTATTTTTAGAAAATAAAACTTAGACAAGATATGTCTTTTGGCATAAGGCATATTTTTGTACTATTCACAAAAACCTTCAATATGGGGCCATTTTAGGCCTTTAAATCACGTTATCCTTTGCAGTGAAACTAAATTCTAGTTTAATTGTTCTCAAGAATACCAAGGTATATTTTTATTATTTATTAAAACAATTTTTCACTCCGTTATTTTCTATTGTTTCAACCAATGTAAATCGACATGCAATTATAGAAATTTCATATAGCAGGAAAGTTTTATGAAGAAAGTGTATGGAGCGATATAGTCTTTGGTGTAATGCAAGTAAGAGCAAGATGTACTTACGATACAGCACAGATGTATGTATACCTGGGAACTAACATGCAGTGGGTGTTTTTTTATTTCAGATTTAACAAAAAACATTTTGATGAGAACTCCTAAATTGTAAGTACATCATTTTGTATATAACGTACACATCTTTAATTAAAGTGGTCATTCAAGAAGTAAATACTGATAAACTAATTCTCTTCAATTACTATTGGAGATCATAATTTACATGGTGTTTTCCTAAATGTTTCTAATATATTTCTTTTTTTTATCCTAAAGGACTACAACTCACAGTCAGGAGGAGATGTGACAAGACATTTATATGCATTCACCAAATACAATGTATAAGTTTATGTATGTGTGTAAAACACATTGTGAAACATGCAAAACATACACGAGAACATCAAGTATTAATCTGAAATGTCGAGCCAGATTAAAAACAAAATGCAAAAAAAACGTATCTTATTATAATACTAAAGTATTAAGATAAAACAAGTGTTACTACTTATCAATAATGCCTTCCCATCCAGGAACAGTAATTACTTATATTTACAAATATTATGAACTTACGTTACCAAAACAAATACATGTTTGTTACATATTACACAAAATCTCACTTAGAACCTTGGTAATGAAAACAAGAGGGAATCCTCAATAACCGCGGCTGTGATTAGATCTCAAATCGATCAAGAGATGGGACTATGAGCTAAAAGTTTGTACTTGAAAAAACTCAGCCATTATATCAGCCTCTATGCCGCGGCTAATAATTTCGTAAGAAATTACAACTGTTTTACAAATCCCGAGTATTATTTGAAAATAATTTATAATTGAAAGTTTTATGTTCAAAATGGAAATAATTCATTTAGTGCATCAATATTTTCCTAGTTTAAGGCAGGAGATTATTTACAGTGTAGTCCATATAAATGTTCTCATGCTTTTCAAAATTAATAGTTAAAAACCTTGATTATAAAACTGCTAAAATAATATACATATACCATGTTTGGAATATGGAAAAGCTTATAAAGTTCTTTGTAAAAAAGCTTTCCTGTGTATTTTTTTTTCAAAATTTCTGAGAATTCATTCTTGAGTAGTATTTATAATTCAAATAAACCAAAGATATTCCGTAAATTAAATAACGAGATTTTATTAGACCTTGCTTAAAGGAGTCTAAATTTCTCATAATTTAAAATAACATTGAAATTTACGCTTTTTTTACTATTGCCATCTATTGGAAATTATCGTAACCATAGCTACTTCTATATCGTAAAACACCTATCTGTCGCATTCCATTACCACTTCTTCTGCTACTCAAACGTTGTGAAACATACACTATCATCTTTTATATAAAATAGTACAAAAATGCTATTTTTAATTATAAAATAGCATGTGTTATTTAAGAGAACCAAAACACAATAGATACATGACGCTGTTTCTTAGCCAAAACCATATTATTTAACACTTTCTGTGACTAAATTATCAATTTATTTATACAAATGGTTTTCCTGGTGGTCAACTTGGAAGACAACTAAACCTCCTAAGAGATTTTCGAACATATTGATATACTTATACGAATTATTATCAAAACATTGTGTTTAAAACACAAAGACTGGATTATAGTTTCCTGAAAAGAACTGTGTTTACATACTTGACAAATATGGCAATAAAAGCTTCCAAAGTGATTCATGTGTATGCACTTACAATATATATATATATATATGTCTGTAAAATATTATAATTAGCAAAAAGTATGTTTTTGTTAGTTTAATATTAAATGGTCCCTTTTTATATATATATATATATATATATATGTCTGTAAAATATTATAATTAGCAAAAAGTATGTTTTTGTTAGTTTAATATTAAATGGTCCCTTTTTATATTCACAACTTTGCCTATTATTCTCTCGTAAAATCAAGGTTCGATGACGGCTGATATAATACAACTGATTTTTTTAAACCCATTCTTCATTTATGTATCTGCTTGACCTTTCATAAATTAAAAAGTTTAAAGCTTTTAATTCGAAACTAACATCTAGTAAATTAATCAACAGAAATACTGCTATCCTGACTTAAGTAAGTAACACTTTGTTCTGGTTACACTGGATAACTTTCAACCATAATATATTTTGAAAATATTTATTAGATCATCTAAAGACTAAGGAGCAACCAACAACGTTTCTAGAAACATTCCTGGAAATAGCGAAATAGAGGAAACTAATTAATAAATCCGTTGATAACTTACAATCGAAGACATTCTGAATAAAGCCAAGCAGT